ATATATATATATATATATATATATATATAAACACAAAATAGAAGAATAATATAAAATATTTAATCGGAAAATGTAAAGGTTCTCTTCAGGACGCATTCCTTTATGATAAATGCGATATTTCGAAATAAAGAGTAATTATCCTAAGACAAAAATTACTTTTTATTATTTAGTATTTTATTTTATCATTACTGTTATATAACGGCAGAAATCAAGTTGGAAACATCAAATTTTATTTTATTAAAATACTTATATTTTTTAAAAAATAAATAAAATTTCATCAAATAACAATGTTATTTTGCAAAGTAAATAAAGATAGATACAGTATCTCAAAGTTGAAAAATATATATATTGAGTTTGAAACAATGAGAAATATATTTCTTTTGTTAATTAGTAAGCATCATTAAACCTAAAATATAGTACTGTAGTATCTATTAATTTTCTCATAGTTCTTCTGACTTTTAAATTAAAATCAAATCATTAATTGTTCTTAAGTAATTACTCAAATTAAATGATCTCACATTCTTGTTATTTATAGATCTCGCACATGCTCTTCAAGATCACGATCTCGTTCTCGACTCCAATCAAGGCGTACTAAAACACGATCTAGGTCAACTTCTAGATCAAGAACTGATGATAAATCACGATCTCCTTTGTTGCCACCTCCTCCTATTAAATCTTATTATCGCCATAGTCTTTCTCGTTCAAACAGTGATGTTTCAGATGATGAGAGTGATGGAGATAAATCTCCAATAAGAACATCACAACTTCCTAACATAACTGGCAGTTCAAAGTAAGTATTTTCTTTATGTTTAATTGAAGTATAATTCATTTTTCAAATGCATATATCGTTTTGCTATATATCGTTTAAATCGTTTTGTTATATTATCGTATTAAATCGTATCATATTAAATCATTTTGCTATAGTATTGTTAAATGTTATATATCGTTTTGTAGTGGCAAATAATTCGAATAATTTTTTTAAAATAAGCTGTAACATGTGTCTTTTCAGTGAACTTCTTATTCACCTGATTTTCCATGCAAATAAATAAAATGTAAGGCCATCATAGCTTTTTCTCAAAGCAAGGGGAAATTTTATTTAGTTCCATTTGAAAAAAGTGATATAATTAGACATATTTTGCATTTTATAAAATGTGATGCAATTAGGAAAAAAAGCTTTTTCTTTCATCGTATATTTGAAATTTTGTTTATTAATATTGAATAGATAAGCATAACTTGAGAAATTAACTGCACGTCAATTGATAATAACTAAGTATCAAGCAGGAAGAAGAAACAATTAACAGGGTGCGCAGCGTTTTTAAAAGTGCTTAAAGGTGCTTCCTTTCGTTTTTTAAAGCCCCTAAAGGTGCTTTTTTTCATTGGATGTTTTTAAAAAGTGCTTAATTTTCCCTTTTCCGAAATGAAATATTTTTTCTTTACCATGTTGATTTTCATCATGAATTATGCAAAAGGTAATTGTTCATATTGTTCTATTAAACCTTTTCACAATTATTTCAAACCCAATATAATTCAGTGTACCTTAGGTCCGTAGCGTCTTAAAACTCTTTTTTGTTCACATGTTTAATATTAGCTTGTGAGTCTGCATGCGTGTATACTGAGCTGGATTCAGTTGGAAGGATTTTTGCCCTCGCATGTGCTACTCTACTGCATTTTGCAAGACTCTCAATTTCAGGCTTCATTTTCCGTCCTTTGAAATCAAACCGAAAGATCTCTCGAATTTTCGCTGATTACAGGGACCAACTAAACATTGTCGAAATTTTTTCCTTGAAAGCAATAGAAAATTTTATTTCTCCTGTTAATTTCATTGTTGGTGACACACCATCGTCTTCGTCACTGGCTTTCTCGCGATATTCTATTTATAGATCAGTAGGATATCATGTGGGTCTCCAGACCAGTCAAGAATCCCAAAGCTTCATCTCCTCAAAATTTCCATTTCCCTTTTATTCATTAAATTTAAGAATTAATTGAGAATTTTAAAAGTATTATTTTTACCTGAGGGACCGCCCCCAGTTGCATAAAATTTAGTTAACTTTTATTGTTCTTTATTACTTTTTTTATGTTTATTACTTTTTATTAATTATTGCATTACTTTTAAAATTTCAGCACTCTTAAGTTGTTTTATGAGCTAACTCAATAATATTTAAAGGTCGGATTTTAAAAAAGTATGAAAATAGAAACTTATATTATTTTAAATGCAGCAAAAAATCTTATGTGTTTAGTTACGTAAAAAAAAATTCAGGTTTGTCATCCCAAAGAACTTAAATGATTTTATTTACTAACAATTGAAATCAAAATTAGATTTAAATTTATTTGTAAGAATAAAACAGATTTTCTTTCATCTATTGGGAATTTCAGGATTACATTAGAGAATAATAATTTTCCTTTTAATTATTGTAATTATAAAATTTTGATTCAAAATATTTAAAGGCGTTGAAATAATTCGGCCTGCGCAAATAAGCCTATGCCGTGAAATTTAGGATTTTGCGTTCCAGAAGCTTATAGATGGCAGCTACTTCTTAAAATTTTTACTCATTGAATGTTTTTCTGTTTTATTTTTTCAAGATGTTAAAAAAAGGGGTCAGCACTTCATTTATTTCTAAAGTTTTCATAATGATTTGGCAATTTATATTTTATTTCGATGTGGCTTTTCCAACTATAACTTTATTTATTTTTCTTATTTGTAGGCACTTCTTTATTATGTCTTATTTTGTTTACTTTTAAGACTTTGTGATTGTTTGTCATTTATATTTCTTTGCATTTACATTTCAATTTTTCTAAATGCTTTTCTTATTTGATTTTCCATTATGGGGCCTCAGGGCACTGTCAGTTTTTGGTTTCACCTCTGACAATTGAAAGGCTCCTGCGTGTTGGCAGGCAGTGTGTCCCCTGATGAAGTGCTGTCCTACCAACACACGTGTCTTAAATTTTTATAATTCTTGTTTTCTGCTAGAATTATTTTTCTGACTTTATAAATTAAAATAAAACAAATTTGAATTTAGCTGCTTTAAGCTCTTTTCTATTTTGATTTATTATTTTAAATGTTACTTACTTATTTTGTCTTTTTCTGAAGTTGTAAATTAATTTCATTCTTTGATTAGATGTGTCTTATAAAGTTAATGTATAGGTAATCTTTGCTTTCACAATTTCTGTATATGAAATTAGTTTTCAATTATGATCAGTTTTTTAAAATGTGGTGACATTTTAAAATCTCCTAATTAGTGTAAGATGATATTTACATCAAACTGTAGAAAATTGGATTGACAAAAAGTAGATTTATCAAGGTTTTTATTTATTTATAAATTTTTTTTGTATTAGATCAGACTCTAATATTATTTTAAGTTAAAAGCAGTAGATCTTTTTATGAAGGAAAATGTCATCGTCAAATTATTTTGCAGAATAAATACTTTTAGTATTAAAAAATGAAAGTAAAAAAATAAATAAAAATATTGATTTTTGAAAAGTAACTATGTGCTTATTTATTATTCATTACTTCTAATAATAAAAAATATGCAACATTACAATTAAAATCTGCAGCTAGAAATCTAACTCTATTCTATTTTTTCCCTGTTTTTTTTATTTTTTATGAATTGGTATAATTACCAATTAAGAATCGGAAAAAAAAAATTAGGAACCTTAAAATTTTTTTTATGAATATTAGAATGGACAACTTGATTTTCAACTTCAAGTTAGATATTAAAACGGGTTTAAATTTCAGTTCTGTGTAAGATTGCAATAATGAAATCAGTCAGAAATTCTAAATTTTCTGTTTTGAAAAAATTATTTTAGACTTTGTTTCAAATCTGGGTTATACTGTTTATTTATAATCCATTGTTGTCCCTTTTCCTACATGCTTTTTTCTTTTTCCCACATTTTTTTAAAGCATTTTATTTATTATTATTTTTTTTCAAACTTATTATTTGAGTATACTTTTTTCCTATTTGCCTTAATTATAAATTAGTTGTAATTTTACTTTTAATTGTAATCAGAGCTGAGAAAATATCTTAAGACCAGTATTGGTGCTCAATTTGTGCAATCCAAATGTTTCTTCAGTTCACAATGTTTGGTATAATTTCATCTTACATTTTTATCTGCAATACTAACTTGAATATTTCAGAATTCTATTTCAACTGTTTCAATAAAGTTAGATGATGGAAAAGTAAGTGAATCCTGAAAAGAATGAAATTTTAAAGAGATTCATCTATCATTAGCAAGCATTTTTCAAATTAGTGTTTAACATTGTTTGATTTTTAATAAAAGTAAGGCAAGTGCTTTCTGCAGCTGCCTAATTCAATAGGCTGTGCAAGTATTATATTCTGTTATTTTCAATTTTATAAGAGGTATAGATTTAATGAATGTTCAGCTATAATTTTCTGTTTAAGTAGTTTTATTAGTTTTCCACAATCTGATTGCATTACTTTCTTTTAATGGAAAAAAGAAGCATCCTGCCATAATTTAAAAATATTTCTGCTTAATTTTTAGGACCCTGAGTATAATAGACATTTTTATAAAATGAAAATAACTACTTAAAAGTAAAACTTTGTAAATTTCAAGTACAATTTTTCTTTCAGTATCTAAATTAAACCCTTGTAGTTTTTTAAAAAATTTTCTTAAAGTTTGTATTACTGGTTAAAGAATTTAAAAAATGTTTACCTAAACTAAAAAAAAGTTTGTAACTGCCTATACATGCTCACTATTTTTGTTAATCCAGGTAGTTTTCGATGTTTACTAAACTTGTATGAAATGTGGTAGTTCATTTAGAAGGTCTATTTGGAAATATTTCTTTTGTTTGTAAAACATAATTTTAAATATATATGTATATATATATATATGTGTGTGTGTATCTATATATATGTGTGTATATAAATGTGAGTGTATATATATATGTGTATATATATATAAAAAAAAAGGATAGTAACAACTTTTGTAAGAACTAGGTTTCTGTATGAAAGTTAAAGTGAACTCCTGAATTTCTTGTACATGTTTTAAATAGCATTGGCTATTGTCAAACATTAGTGGATTAAGTATAATTTTATGATTTCTTTTTCAGGCTGCAACCTCTTTTGGGTAAAGCTGGTCTTCCTACCAAAGTCAGTAAGAAATTTTTCTTTTTGCTAATCCTGAAAATTAGTCAGTATTAAATAATTTAACTGTGTTCCGTGAAGCAATGAGCGATTAATTTAAAATTGCTGATATTGACAATAATTTACATGAAAAAATTCAAAGGAATGATAAATTCATTTTAAAATATATTCTCAGGAAATTATTTGTTTTGAAAATTGGATTTGGAAACATTGATTTTTCTTCTCATTCATTAGTTGAAATCTTTTTTAGACAGAATTTTAAGAAATGTTAAATTTAATTTTCATTATTTTTTAAGCACTTAGTATTTTTGTCTTTTTAACAAAATTCATTGTATTTTAATAATTTAAAGGAAAGCGAAAATATTTTTTCTTCATTTCATGCTTATATATAAGTATTTTCTCTCCCATATTATCTGTGCTTGATGGATAGTTTTAAGAAATGTTTTAATTTTGAATTATTTTTAAGCATTTAAGTATTTTCATTTTAAGAGATTTGATATGCTTCAATTATTAGTTTTAGAAAAAAATAATAAAAGAGAAAACATTTTAACTTTTTTAAGTTTATAAATTGCACAAATCTTCCATGCTCCCTAAAACTTTTACTTGTGCTTAATTTTATTTATGAATAATAATTGTTTTGATACTGGTAAGAAATATGTGCCCCTCAACTATTTAAGGTCATTCTTAAAATTTAATTTGCTTGAAACTTAAGTTGGAAATGAAATTGATATATTTTTTTTTATTTATTTACATTTTTAGTAGACTGAAAGATTTTCTTGTGTGTGCATATTCTTTACTAAACCAAAACTGTTGTGAAGTTCCCGTTTTTTTTTTTTTTTTTTTTAAACTTTTATTAATAACAATATTTAATACATAGAGTAATATTTTAAGTTGAGAACTTAGTGTTTCTTTGACAAATATTATCTTTGTCTTGTAATAAATCTTTTTTTAAAAAAGAAGATTTACAATTTATTACTTTTATCATTATTGTTTGAATGATGCTAGTTAAATATTTGAAGGCAAATTACCCCAAAATTAATTGTAGCTAATTATTTACTGTTAAAACTTTTATAAATCACGAGTGTTATCAGTAGATAAATCTTACTTTCCTTATGAATTTTAATTTAAAGTCATGATTTTTCATTGAGTATTATTAAATATAAAATTAATTGTTTTTAAAGACATAGTTCTTCAAATTATATTAAGATGAAATATTTAAAAATTCGCTATGTTTTTCTCTTAGCAAAATGAATCCTCATGCTTATATGTATTATTCTGCATTGTCAAATTAATAAGAGTTAATTTACTTGCTTAAATATTAAGTATGAAACATAGCACATAATTTTTTTATCTTTAATTTTATATGTAACTTTAGTTGACATTATTAAAATTTAAAATCTGTTAGATTGTAATTAAAAATCTGTATGTTTTATTAATATTTAAATTTAATAAGGAAATTGATCAGTTTTCTTCTAACTACATGTCTAATTATCAAGTTATTATAAATAAGCTCTTTCTGAGTTCTATAGATAAATTTGAGTGGTCTGAGATCTATAGATGGAAAAAATACCTAAACCCTTTTATAAGTTGACCATATAGGAAAACTAATAAAGTCTTGTAATGAACAGATTTTTAAAATATTGAAATGAATATAATGTAGTTTTCTATTCATTAGTCATATTAGTTTGTGTTTACTGATAATTTATAAAAATATTTATGAATAACAACTGGTATGCATCATTATAAAAAATAAGCATATCTGTTAAACAATTAGTTTAGTATTTAATTTATATAAGAAAAAATATTTTTTTTTTTTTAATTAGCCTAATTTTTTTAAAGCATTGGTTAAAAATTTTTTTTAAGTAATGTTACAGGAATGTAATTACATTTATCTTTATTTTAATTGGTAATGCATAAGAAATGAGTAATAACCCAAATAACTTAATGTAAGAAATTATAACGTAAGAAAATTATAATATTGGGAAATATATGTCTCCATCTCCTTTAATTTGACTACTTAAGTTATGCATGACAAATGGGCAACTTACTGTATAATATTTCTTTATTATTTTTTTAGTGATATTTAGTTTATTTTTACTGCATAGCATTATAAATGTGATTTACATATTAACCAAGTAATATTCAATATACTAAACTGTTACAAAATCAAGACTATATTTTTTGAGTGAGTTTAAACGATGCATAAACTATATATCTAGTTGTATTTATTTGTAATTACCTAATTTGTAATTAATTTGTGTGTACTACATATCTAGTTATATTATTATGTAGTTATTTGTAAGTATTATATTGTCAAAAAAGAAGTAAAATTCAATTTTTTCTATACTTGAACCAGTCAAACTATCTTCCATGCCTTGTTCCTTCCTGTTCACTTCATGATCTCGTATTGTATAGCTTCCTGACCTCATCAGCTAAGTACAGTTTGAGGTAACCGAAATCGTTACCATTCAAAAAGATTCATAAACTTCAAAATAAATGGCAATCATATGGTGCATGAAGTTACCAGAAAGATGATGAAAGGTCATCGAAGAGAATGGAAGATATTTGACTGATAATTGTCAATTTTTTGTTTAAAAAAAAGTTGGTTTTATTTGATACTAAGAGACAGAAATTATCTTTTTATCAACCTAATAATACAAATTATTTACTGTTTTAGTTATACTATTTGTTAGTATTTATGTAGTTGTTTTAGCATGGTAGTCTCAGAAAGTATTTCAGTTTTGTCATCCCTCAACTTGGGTGAACCCAATCTTAGAGTCTTTTGATTAGTACTTACATTTATACTTCATGCTATAACTATGAAAAGTTAAATACTTTAAAAAAGATAAGAAATATAAGTACTTATTTTATTTTAGTTTTGACTTAATGATACTTTCACTGAATATACTTGTAGTAAACATATTGGTAATGGCCCCGTTATGAAATTTCAAGCTATTTAAATAAATAATATATCTTGATTGAATTTTTTAAAATTCAAAATTCTCTCTTAATATTTGTATTAAGATATAAAATTAATAGAATAAAAGTTTAATCCTAAATAGTTTTAAGAGTTCAGCTTTTTCTAGTAAAAGCATATGTCAACATTCATTTTGTAATTTATATTTCAGGGTACGAAACTAACTCCTCAAGAGCGCCTTAAAAAGAAAATGCAAATTGCCCTAAGGAAGCAATGTAAGTTTTTATTTTATTTTTTTTTTATTTTTAAATTTCATTTTGTAGCATTTTATGTATACATGTTTTTTTTGTTCATATTTATGATTAATAATATACTAACAACCCTAAAATAAAAAATAAGTAATGAAATTTTTGGTTATATGATGTAAATTTGACTCTTTTATTTCATTTTGTATGTAATTTCATTTTATTGATAGTTGTGATATGCTTACTATTATGTTTATATATTATTAAAAGATACACATTTCTATTTTTAGTAGTTATTATATGCCAACAATTCTTATACAAAACAAATTATTATTTTTTCAGATAAAGCTGATAAAAAAGCTCAAATGGAAAAAAGTGAAAAACAAATGCAGGAGAGACAAGTACTTGTTCATTCATAATTGTTTTGTTATTTATTATAGAAATGTTATTGATATATACCTATTAAAAAAGCAAAATTAATGCTCTTAGGAAACTACTCATGTTAAAAGATTAAAGCTTTCTAAAAATCGAAATATATTTTTATAATAATCGCAAATAGCTGATTTCTAAAAAATTTTTTTTGCTGAAATTTTATTGAAATTATTATTTTGAAAAGTAAAAAAAAAAGTTAATTTGTTGTAGTTAATTAAAATCATCAATCAATATTTTTTTTTTATTAAAGAAAATTATTAGTTGGCTGAGAGTGTCGTGCTTAAAGAAGTCTTTAAACATGTTGTTTTTCCTGAAAAAAACTACTTTTTTATCTCATGATTTAAGGAGAAAGTTGCATACTGAGTAGAAATTTCGTCACAAATGTATCCAAATGTGAAAGGTTCAGTCAATTAAATAACAATTAAATGTTTGTTATTTAACTGAACTCAGTTGTAATATAATGTTATTAATTATTTTTTTTAGTTATTTTAATGAGTCTTCCATTTTTTACAATTTTTCTCTGGCTTAAGAAAGTGGAAAAAAAATCTTGCTTGAGGAAAGGTTTAATTTATGTAGCTCTTTTTAAGAATTTCTCATCTTATTTATGAATAAATAATTGTACAGATATTTTAATAGTGTCAACAATTAGAAAAGAAAACTTTTATGCTAGTTAACTGATTGTAAGTAAAGGGCCTGTTAATCACTAAATTAATTTTTGTCCTCTGACATTTTAAATGTTTCTATGTTGTTGCTTTTTATTTCATATATTGCTATAATTTATAAAATTTTCTGTCATGATTAATTTTAACTGCTTTATCTAATTTTAATTTCAAAGTTTAAATTTGAAACTAATCATTAAATTTCAGGATAGAGCTGAGGAATTGAGAGAAATGGCTATTAAATTAAGACAAAGGTAGTATATTTCAATAGTTATTGAGGTATTAAGAAAATATTAGCTTTTAACTATTACACTATATTTTACATTTTAAATTTTGATTTCTAACTTTAATATGTCTTTATTAGTTGTTTATTAGTGATTTTCCTTTTATTTTAGCTGTATTCTAATTTTAAATTTAATTTACTTAGGGAACGAGAGCGAAGGCACAAAATGCGTGGTTATGGTTATGATTCTGACAGTGACACCACGTGGACTAAAAACCCTGATTATGATCCTAGAAATCCCGATAGTCACCATTCTAAGAAAAGTGGAACTGCTTCTAGCAGGAGTAGTAGTTACAGTAGTGATGAAACAAGTCCGACACAGTCATTTACGTCTAATAGTCGAAGGAGGAGTAGAACTAAATCACCACCTCCTCGCTCATCCAGAAGAAGTCCTGTGGAAGACAGGCGAAGGTCATCCCCTCCTCCATCTTCTTATCGGAAAAGAAGTCCTTCGCACAGAAGTCCATCTAGAAGAAGTCGAAGTCCTCTTTTAAAAAGTCCTACTAGAAACTCTGTAAAAAGTCCACGAAGAAGTCCTCAACACTCTCGAAGGAGCCGAAGCCCCGATCGTAGTTATCGAAATTCTAGGTCTCGCCAAAGTCCATCTCGTAGATATTCACCTCCAAGGAACTCTAGGAGACGTTCTCCTTCCAGAAGTCCTTCACGCCAGCATTCATCTTCTAGGCAATACAGGTTTAAATTTTTTTTCCCTTTCTTTCTATACCTCTTTTTACTTTTATTTATCTCAGGCAGTTTTAACATTCATTCAAAATTTTGTTAAAAGAATTACAAAGATGTGATAACATGATTAATAAACATTTTTCAGTGAATTTCGTTAACTCTATTCTAAAATGGAGATCTTTCATAAAATTTCATAAATCTTGATTTTAAATTTTTTTTTGTTGCAAAAATGGGGACGTTGATATTTTAAAGCTATAATTTTTAGTCCTTCATTGATTCAAAATCTGTGCTGAACTTAGTTATCTGTTACAATTCTCGATAAAGTTATAACTCATAAAATAATATAAATTTTGTGCAACTCTAAATCACATGAAAATCAATCAGCGTGAATTTGCTTTCAAACATTGCTTAAAGACTAAACACCTTATCAAATTAAAGGAACTGATATTAAGAATTATTCTTTGAGTTGGTGTAAATAATTTTCTAAAAATGTATATTTTTCATGTAAGTTCTGTGCTATTTAACCCCCTGAGTGGGAATGATCAGTGGTTCAGGCACTGAGCCTTCATTTTGAAAGATTGGAGTCTTTTTTTTCCCCCTGATGACAGCTTGAAGACTACACAGCTTCAGATTGGGTAGTAACCGCTTATCTTAAAAAGAGCTGGTGACCATATTGATGCCATCATACTATTGGTCTCAAAATTATGAGCCTTAACCACTCTTGACTGACAACTGACTGTTGTCACTATTGCTGGTTGTTGTTGATGCTCCACTTATTTAGCCCCTTAAGCATTATACACTTTAGCAGTCATTTTAAAATTTTACAATCCACATTACCTAATCGTTGAGGAAATTGCTAACTTACTATATCTTTCTGCACTATCTTATCACATAGAGAAAATCCAGTTTCTCATGTTGAGAAGGAAATACTTGGCCAAGTGCTTAGAGAGTTACATAATTAATACTTTCCCATCTTTGACTATCATTTTTTTTTTCATTTTAGTGCGATACTTATTTTGATGCACTGTTGTAGACTAAATTTTAAAGCTTTTGTGTGCTATGATTTTTAAGTTGAAATGCTTCATAATTTAATCAATGTTTTAGGTTTTAAAAAGAAATACATATCCATAGTAAAAAATAACACTTTGTAAGAGTAATTTCGGTTATTTATGAGGAATTTTTTAAATGAAGTTAGTTTAAAAACTTATAAATTTAATATTTTGACGAATATGACATGAATTTGGTTGAATTAACTATGAATAAAGTAGCGTTTAAATTTATATTCTCTACTGAACTCTGGAGAAACAGAAAATTTTAATTTAATGATCTCTAATGTCATTAAATAAACGAAGGACATTAAATAATGTATTCATAAACCACGTTTTTTTCCTAAATTGCATTTTTACTTCAAATATTTCTTTGGTGGGAATTGCTCCTAATATTTCCTATTTTGTTTTGATACTATTTTCTATAAACAGCACAAGACACTGAAACATTGCATTGTTTGCATGAAAAGAACACTTGGATTATTATTATATTATTCTAAGCCTTTCAAATGATTTGTTTATGTTAAATTTCCTATTATTTTTTATAGGCGAGGGAATAATTCACCACGAAGATCAAGGTCCCCATCTAGGACTTACGGCTCTAGACCTTTAGTTGATTATTAAATCGAAATATTTTGCACACAAAAACTTTTTTATTTGGAAATTTTGATATGTGTATGGTGAGAAAGGGATTGGATTTCAGGAATATATTTGTCTAATATATCAAATTTCATTCATCACAAATCACTTTTTATCATTCCATCTGAATTAAGAAGAATTTTTACTTAAGTCATAATTTTTGCCAAAGAATTCTTAGAAAATGATATTAAAATGAAATAATTCCTTTATAATTAAAGAAGAATTTTTAATCTGAAACATTATTTCTTTACTAAATTTGCATTGGGAAGGAACCAAGGTTGCAGGAGATATTACGAGTTACGTCATTGAAAAGCAAAATTGAAGAAAAAATTTATGTAAAAAAGTATTCAATACAAAAAATATATGCATAAAAAAGCATCCTAAAATGTACACAACAAGTGCTCTTACATGAAAGAGTATCTTGAAAAATAAAAGAAAATCTAAATATGCAAATTTCATCAAAATTCTGGCCTTAATCATTACATATCATGATGAATTTGAAAATTATATAGCTTATGAAATAGAAGGCAAATAACTTGAAAACACGTTTAAACATCATTCTTTTGTTAAAAGTTTTTATTTTTTTTATTTTGAGTGATTTTGACATAAATTTAAACTTACCTAAATCTCTCTCATTATTGATTGATAAAAAAAAATAAAAAAATTACATCATGATCAAAAGTGATTCTTAGTGAATGAATTAAACTTGCATGCATATTGTATGAATTAAACTTACTAATAAAAATAAATTATTTTTATTTAAGTAATAGATAGCAATAAGTCATACCTTAAAATAAAATGTTATAAATAAAAATGTGTTATTTTCAATAAATAAAAAAAAAAGCTTTTTTCAAATTACTGTAATTGACTTTAAATATTTAACTCTAAAATTCTATAGCATTCTATAAATGTTTTTTGCCATCAAACAAGATGTTTTAAAATATCACTTATAATAAATTTTTTATGATTTTGACTTAAGAGCATGTTCAGCTTAGTTAATGTTTCACATTTTTGTATAATTAATTATATCTCTATTACAATAATCTGTCTTTTTAGTATTTGACAATTAGCTTTATTATTTAAAAATGAAAAAAGTTTTTGCCAGATTAGCATTATTTTATCATTTATTACTGAATTGCTATTGATTTAAATACTTAAATCAATAAAATAATGAAAGCAATATTTGATGCCTGTGTTTTAAATTTTTACAATATTTTTTTCTGAATATGGTATTTGGAATGAATAATGAAAATGTATTCAGATCCTTATTTAAGTTCAAAACTTTGCTATCCTTGTGAATTGTGTTTGTTGTAATAAAGTAAAATAAAGAAAAAAATAAAGGTGTAAGTGCAATTTACAAACATGGATTTAAGAATAATGCTTGCAGCATTAGAAATTCAGCAATAAAGCAATAGAATTTTTGTGACATGATCAGTTACTTGATAAGTAAAAGATAAATAAACAAGCTAGTAGAAAAACAGGCTTTCTGTACTGTCAACAATAAATATCAAACTTTTAATATAAAAAAAGGCTAAATTAAAAAGTGCAAAATATCTAAGCCTCTGACATGATTCTGCATTATTTTTATCTGTTATAATTGCAGTTGTGTTTGTTGTAATATACTAACTGGCTCAGTCACTTTCTAATATTATAGTTATAATTTGTATAAAGCAATTTAAACATATTTCATGTATTATTGGACTATCTATTTGGATTTTAAAATTTAAATATTTTCTTATTTATCTAATATATTTTCAAAGTTAAGTTTAAGTAATTTCAGAAACTATTTATAAAGTTTTATTTATAAAGTTTCAAAAAAATTACAATTAAAAATTTACAAATATTTTAGAATGATTTAATCATATTCTTCAAAATTATGATGAAATATGTTCAGTTGCAACACAATAACATCTGTTCTCAAATTCTAAATATATAGACTGATTCAATCTTTAAATTTTAAAAATTTCTTGGCAAAAATTTTTTTTGACTAATTTTGAAAAATTCTCAATTTTTTCCCATGCATACAACTTTGTTATTTCTCATGTATACTATTTTTTACTGTATAATAGTTTAACTCAAACATTTATGCCGTGGAATTCATCAAACATGTTAAGACAAATATTGTTTCTTTTCTTTTTTAGACATTTTTTATTTTAACTTTTGACAAAATTTTATTGCTGACTGATTGCTTAATAGTGTGAACAAATTTTAAATTTGTTTTGCAGTTTTTTTTTTTTCATTGAAAAGTTGTGCCAGGGTTTGAAAACTATATTTTCTGATATGCTTCAGTGTATAGTTTCACCCTTACATGCCTTGCAGGGCATAAAAATATTTATTCAAAACTTATAAGGAGGATTTAATAATAATACAAATTAAAACCCCTTTTCCATTCATCTAGTTTATAGAGTCAAGCAATAATTTAATGTCAATGAGCAATTGTGACATAGTACCTTAAAACTTTTATAGATTAATTGCCATTTAACATTGATTGTTTTGTTCTATAGAAAATAGGTTTGTTGAAAGCCATGCCCTTTATGATATCACTTAATGCTTATGATAATTATATTTTTTTGTTAATAATAGTGTTCTGCATTACCTCCATAAATGCAAGTATGCAAAGACAGCCAAATCCACCAGTTGCTTATTTGGGCTTAATAGTTCCTGATTTATATTGAAAATAAAATTCTTGTTGTAGTCATAGTGTTGTTAATGTTATTTGTTCAAATTCATAATACCTACCTTTGTGCGTTCTTATTGTGTATTTGAAAAAAAATGTATAGGTTAAAAAAAGTTATGAAATTTTTCAAGTCCAGAGGTCTTCTATCAGAGTAAATGTAATTATATATAAATTGAAGTAGAAAAGTTCTCTGGTAATGCGTATTCCTTCTAATCAGAGATACTAAATTGAAATCCAATCAAAATTCTGCCATTAATTTTGTAATCAAGCTTTTCAGTAAGAATGCAAATATTTCGAAACACATTTTATAAAAGGTGTAAAAAGTCTCCTGTTTTTTGTAAAGCTTTTGTTTCTTGTATTTCATAGTGAGGTTTGAAAGTGTGAAAAAAAATTTAAATAATTATTTGAATGTTATTTAGTTTATTGTTCAATTATGTGAGATCAATTTTGTGTATGATAATTAAAAGTGTTTGTCTTCTAAACTTTGTTTTTCATTTTTTTTTTTGTACACCTTTCAAACATGCATCTCCTATTTTCCAAAAAAAGGGTACCCCAAATCATTCAACACTTATTTAAGGACATTTCTTTTAAAAATCTTGCTATAAATATTTTTATCATAACCTTTATTTTATTTTATTCTTTTTTTTTTGTTGTTGTAGGGGAGCTAAATTGACATGGACTTATATTTTGTGTATTTTACATTATGAGGGGTGAGGGAATTTATTGAATCAGTATCGATGCAGAGTTGTTGATTTATAAAAAAATTATCTAAAATGAGTGCATTCATTTCCTTTCCGATTTTTTATCTACAACCTTAAGTAACTAAATTTTTTATTGTTTGTATTAAAAAATGCATTTAAATAATTGTTTAGTTCTTTTTTTCTCTCAAACTATCTCCATCTTTGATTTTAGGTTAAATTTTGATTTTAATTTTCTTGATATTTTCTTGTATTTAACAAACACAATACAATAGGAAAATAAATAGGTCGCTTAATTAGATTACTAGAAGTAGCGCTTAATAATTTTTAGGACTTCTATAAAAAAAATTTTTTTAATAGATACTTTAAAGCAATAAAAATATGCGATTTGTGGTTTTAAGCCACTAACTTAAAACTACTCATTTGTTAATTTTTAGATTTTTTAAAATTCAATATAATTGCAATTGATAAAAATCGATTTAGATGATGCTTAAAAAATTATTATAACGTAAATTGCACAAAAATAATGCCAAAATCTAAAAATAGTCAATACATACCATTTTACTACCTTTCAAAAACTGTTGATTGCAGAACTGTATTGAAATAGTTTCTCCAGAAAAAATTAAAAGATACTGTAAAATACCACATGTTTTATATATCAAATTCTGATGGGAAGACGCCCATTTATTTTACATGTATCAAAATCTAGTGCCTAATAGAGTATATGACGCCCGGTGGCTGAGTGGAAGCGCTTAGTGCTTCCTTGCCACAGCTCCTGGGTTCGATCCTCGGGACAGGTAAGGTTGACTCAGCCTTTCATCCCTTCAGTGGCTTGATAGATGAGTACCAAGCATCCTTGGGAACTAAACACTGGGGGTTTTGCGTTCGGCTGACCAGCTAACCGGAACATCTGCTTCTGCACCCCAGAGCCCAAGGTCGAGAAAACTGAGATGGGCACAGTAGGCCTTCTTCCTCTATGGGCTGTCGAGCCACTGAGTTTAATTTATAGAGTATATATCCACAATCAGTTTGTTTGTTAAAATTAAAGGATTGAAAGCATATTTAGAATATAAGAGGATTGAAAGCATATTTAGAATTTTCCCTTCCTGTTTCACCTATTTGACAGTTTATTTCGGTGCGGTCATTGTATGAAAAACATCTACATGAAGAAAGAAGTCCAACTTTTTGAATGTATAACTAATGGGAGGAACTGCTCAGTGCGAAATGTAATTCTAGAAAAACAACTTACACTGTGAGCAACATACTCAGATTTAGCATAGCTTTATATATTCTAAGATCTAGCGCATGCACATAACACGCTAAGTCAATGTTTCCCGAACTTATGACTTTTGTGTACCCTTTCTAAATTTTTCGTAGCGCTGTGTACCATAAATATAAAATGAATTTATTTTTTACTATAAAAATTTCCACAAAAGTTGAAAATCACAACTGGCTGTTGACACCACTAATTATGAACTGTTAACTCGGCAAAAAATAGCCAAAAGAAAAATACGTAATCGTAAATTTTCATGGCTAGCAAGGGCGCCGGCAGAATAATATAAAAGGGGGTGCAACCCTCTAACAAACTAACCCCCTCCCCCCCAAAAAAAAATTTTAAAATATTCTGTTATTACATTTTGTTTTGTTATTACATGTACTTACATCTGTTAAATTTTTTCAAGATACATTTCTTCATTTTTAAAAAGATATTTAAAAAAAAAGTACTAATTTATGTGGTACGAAATATGGAGGAATAGAGAAAATTCTTATGAATCCCTCGAATACATCGATTTAGTTATGGAGGCCACACCGTTTTATCCAACTGTAGCGGAGACAATCAAAATTGGCCTAACTCTTCCAGCTACTACGTGCACTATTGAATGCACTTTTAGTACAATGCGACGTATTAAAACATGGAATCTGTCTACAATATCTCACGAGAGATTAAGTTATCAAGACGATTGCAATTCTTGTTTGATTTCAAAAAAATTTAATTGTTATGTATCAATAATTACTTAATTATTTGTTTTTGAATAAAAATATTTTTAATAAAAAAATTTTAGGCGCTTTAATAGATTAAAAAAAAGCCAGGGGGGTGCAAGTGCACCCCCTTGCACCCCGCTGCCGGCGCCCTTGGTTGGGGANAAATAGCCAAAAGAAAAATACGTAATCGTAAATTTTCACGGCTAGCTTTGTTTTTAAATAATTTTTTTTTGAAATTTTCGTTTTTTGCAAGATATTTCGCATAACAACGAGTACCCCGGCTAAACTGTTCCCGTACCCCTAGGGGTATGCGTACCACACTTTGGGAAACACTGCGCTAAGTCAGTCTGGAGGCACGTCATCTGTAAACCGGTTATTAGACAACTTTACATGTATACGCTGCCCTGTCGTCACCCACCATTTTATTTTTTCTATGTCAAAATGTGTTACCAAATTTAATCATCATTTATGATATAAAAGTATTCTAAAGAGAATAATTTTACAATACTGTTTATGAAAAGTGTAGAAATGCAGAATAAGCAAACAATAAATAAAAGGAGAAAGCTTTTCTTCTACTTCCCAATCTCAGTAGTGGTTGGAAGGAAAGAAAGGTGGGAGCAGACACGTTTCAAGATCCTTTTCTGCTGCACCCCTAAATGTCTTTTCGTTAATATATAGGGATCGAACCGAACCTTGGGGGACTGGTTTACATTATTTCGATGGAAGCCGGCCTTTTCCTCCTATGTATATTCGTTGGCAGTAATACATATTTGTTTATACAAAGTCAAGTTGGTGTTTCACTTTGTTACCTACTACTTTAGCTTTAAAAAAGCATTGTGCTTTGACTCCAGATACAAATATTGATATTTATATTATTAAATTTTTTTTTATTTTATAGAAAGGACTGTGTTGTTTTTATGAAAGCACCGTCATTTAGAAATTAAACTTAAGTTCCTTCTACCGAAGAAGAAACACGTATCTAAGCAATCCCTGATCTGATCAGATTTTTAGTTGCCATTCTGGGGTTAAAAAAATTTACAAATTACTCAAAAAAGCAGTAGCCATTTTATACATTTAATAATTTCACCATTATTTACAATGAGGCTGTTGCTTGGCTGACCGCCTTTTTAATAAATAGAGGCATTTGATTGGTCGATTACATCATCGTTTTCATCGTTATCGCTTAATCGTTTTGTCAGGTTTACTAGAATGGCGCTTTTAGCATTTTTGCTTGGCAGAATTTTAATAACGCGCATGCTCAGTTTGATAATTTATTTAAACCAATCGAAGTACTTCGTAGACAATGAATATAGATGCTTGTATCCTCTCCTTTGCTTGCGTATACTCAAACAAAGACATAAAGATGGAAAGATCAATNTCTTCTCTCCAGACTTTGCCCGACCAGGTCAACACCTCGTAGAAGAGAACGCCTTCACATGGGTTACCGTAAATGAGAAATCCAATTCTTTAGCAGCTCGACCGTTGCGATCTGCTTCGTATTTCCCCCATTGCGTAGTTAATATTCGTTACGTCGGACAGCTAGATCGACCAGTGCGGAGGCCTTCTCTCTTCTAGGAAGTGTTAAGCAGTTCCGTTTTTAATTCTTTTGGTCGGGTTTACGCGTTGAGAAATGTTCGGTTGTCTGCGGTGTAAGCAAGGAAAAGTTGGGAATGGGTTAATTCCACCTTAAGGGTGCTGTTTTCTTCAATAATTTAGAAGCTAAGAAATTCGTTTACGAAAAAAACATATTACGCGTGGAGAAATGTTCGGTTGTCTGCGGTGTACGCAAAGGGAAAGTTGGGAATGGGTATAACTCCACCCTAAGGGTGCTGTTTTCTTGAATAATTTAGAAACCAAGAAAGGGTTTAACACGTTGAATGCCATGGGTGGAGGTCACATGTGACCATCACTGAGCTTGTTAGTAGCGCCACGGAGGTGCCCGCCGAAGCCAAAATTATTAGAAACACATAATTCGAGTAAATTTTTAATGCTTTTAATTTTTTATATTATTATCGTTACTAAAATGGTTTGAGAAAATCATTTTGGCCAGACGGGCAAGCCATGTAAAATTAACGTGGCATTCAACGTGTGAACTCCACCTTAAGGGTGCTGTTTTCTTCAATAATTTAGAAGCCAGGAAAATAGTTTACGAATAAAATTGTTTTATTTCCAAAAAAATAATATTTTTTCTACATGAAATAATTTATGAGTTAAAAAAAAAACGATTTGTATAAAAGAAAGTGTTGCAAATTTAGAAGAATTACAATTCGTTACCCTTCCTAACATCATTTGAAAGAGTAATAAACGCTCTTCACCGATAAAAGTGCTTCTAAGGTACCCGCACAGCGCCTTCTGATCCTCTTAAAATAACCGGACAGTTTTACATTGTGGAAAAATGTCCTTTTCTTCTTAAAATTGCCTTTCTATCTTATCTATGGTTTGGTGCTCTTTAGTATTTCAGTCAATAACGTTTAAAAATTTTGGAATTCTCTCAATGATTTCGATCGATTTACTTCTTTGTCAAACTTCAAATTATAAATAGACCTTGACCAACACCTCCTAGTAAAGAACAGGCCTCAGCACGGGTTACCATAAATGAGACAGTCGATCCTTTACTAGTCCAAACGTAATGACATCTTTCATAATAACCACCACTGCGCAGTTTAGTACTCCGAGCGTAATGACACAACACCTCCTAGAAGTAGGAAGGCCTCAGCACGGATCAATTTAGTAGTCCGATGTGACGACGTTAACAGCGCAGTAGATGAAAAATAAGAAAGATGTCATTACGTTCGGGGTAC